TCTGTGAGTGGGAATCAACTTGATGGCATGCAACACACGTGTTTTGTTCATTTCCAAATATTTTTAAAAATTCATTGTCATTTTTTTTCTTTGACCTAAGAGTTTGAAAGGGTATTTTAAAATTTCCAAATGTAAGGTTTTTTCCTTATATTTTTGGTGGTGGTTTCTTACTTTATTCCTTTGGATTCAGAGTATGTGGACTGTATGCTACTCCTAATCTTTGGAATTTATTGAGGTTTGTATTATGGCATAGTGTGTTGTCAATTTTTGGTAAATAAATGTTCCATATGCACTGGAAAAGAAATGTGTATTCTCTGATTATTTGCTTCAGTATTCTGCACTTGATCCATGTTGTTAATTGAGTTGTTCAAGGCTTTTTAAATTCTCATTTTTTGTTCGTTATTTTTCTACTTGATCTATTAATTTCTGAGACTGGTGTGTTAACCCCTTGCTATGATGATGGATCTATTTTTCTTTAAATATTTGGAATCTTATTATTAAGTTCATATAAATTTCAGATGTCACATCTTGGTGAATTGAACCCTTTGTCATTATAAATTATCTCTTCACTTTTTTTGTCTGATTAGTACTGTTACACAAGCTTTTTGTTTGTTTAGTATTTACATGTTATAGATCTCTTTCTTTCTTCTTACTTTGAACTTCTCTGTATTTTTATGCTTTAGGTGTTTCTCTTATAAATAGCAGATAACCAAACCAAACCGGTTGCCATCCAGTCGATTCGAGCTCATAGTGAGCAACCTATACGACAGAGTAAAACTGCTCCATAGGGTTTTCAAAGAGTGGCTGGTGGATTCAAACTGCCAACCTTTTGGTTAACAGCCAAACTCTTAATCACTGCGCCACCAGGGCTCCAAATAGCAGATAGCTGAATGTTTTTTTTTTTTTTTTTTTTTTTTTGATCCTGCCGGACAATCTTTGTTTTTTAACTGGACCATTAATTCATTTGCATTTTATGTAACTACTGATATATTTAAATTTAAATCTACCAGTTTATTTGTGCTATTTGTCTCACCAGTTCAGTTCTCCTTTTTTTGTCCTTTCTTACTGTGATCAGTGAAATAGTTTTATTAATTTGTTTTCCCCATACTAAAGTAGAAGTTAAACATTCATATTCTATTCAAAGTCTAATATTATTCAATACTTTTACCTTTCCCCAAAACAGTACTAATACTTTAGAGCACTTTATCTCCATTTACTCCTCTCCTGACTTGTATGCTATTGTGCTCATGTGTTTTTATCTATTTTTAAAACCTTGTAATATCTTATTGTCACTGTTTTATGCCATCGATAATCATTTCTATTTTCCCACATATTTACTTCCCCCCTCCCCTTCCGTCTTCCAATCAGACTTACCATCTGAAATCATTTCCTGCTTTTATAAAGTACAGCATTTGGGTGTTCTTTAAGTGTAGGTCTGCTGGTGGTAGATCTCTCAGTTTTTGTTTGTCTGAAAGCTTCTGTATTTCTCCTTCATTCTTAATGGTATTTGTTGCTGGGTACAGAATTATAGTTTAGCAATTATTTTTCTTTCAGCACATTGAAGATTTTATTCCACTGCCATCTGACTTCCAATGTTGCTGCTGTAGCCACCTGTCTGTCATTCCTTTGAAGGTGATTTATCTTCTTTTTTTCCTGGCTGCTTTTGGATTTTATCTTTGGATTTTAGCAGCTTAACTATGATGTGTCTAAGTATGAAAATCTCTTTATTATGCTTGGAATTTTTTGGGCTTCCTGAATCAGTGGATTGAATTTTTTTATCTTTTCTAGAAAATTCTCTGCTATTATCTTAGTATGTTTTCTATTGTCTTTACTTTCTTTTCTGTGTTTTCCATCACTTTGTCTCTCCATGCTATACTCTGGATAATTCATATTTGCTTATTTTCTCTTTACCTGTATCTGATTTGCTAGCAAGCCGTCTATTGAGTTCTAGTTTCAGTGTTATTGTACTTTTTATTTCTAGAATTTCCTTGGTTGTTTTTCAAATCAACTATGTCACATTTTATAGTTTCCTATTCCCTTTAGGTACTTCTATGTTTACCTTTTATTTTTTGAAAACATATTTAACACATCTTTTTTCGGTATGCTTGCTCTTTCTTTTTTTTCCCCTGTTCATTCATACTCATTATATCTTGTCCTGGTGTTCCTGTTTTATATATGAAAAAAAAAAATTCTAGGAATTATTTGAGGCCTCCAATGAAGGTATTTCATAGAGAATTTGCCTTTGTATTAGCAGTCAAATGTTGCTGGGAGGTCAGGTAAAGGGGATTTGCACTGAGCCTTTTTGTTTTGTTCCTGGAAGCTTTGCTTCACCCCCAACTCTGTCTCTTACCCCAAGGGTCACTGCTTAAATTTTATTTTAGAGAAGTCTTCCTTGAATCCTCAATCTCACTGAAGTACTTTCTTTTTTATTCTTTTATTGTTCTCTGTACTTTTCCCTTATATATTTATTCTGTAATTTTACATTTGTTTATGTAACTTTTCATTATCTGTCTTCTATAAAACAAACTCCATGAGGTCAGGAACCATATTTCTTTTGTTTACCACTATATATGTATTGTTTATAGCATAGTATTTGGTATAGTGTAGGTACTCATATGTGCTGAATGAAGGAATATAGAGCCTAAATTAGAAGAAGCTATACTCTGTGGGGTGAGGAAAGATACTAGTTTACAAGTATTTACTGAGCACATATTCATTTAAGTAGCACTGTATAAGACCCTGAGGGAGATTTATAAAACTTGGTCTTTGTCTTTTAGCAGCTCATTGTCTAGTTAAGAAGGAAAAATATATGCATAACTATTATTTAAATAACAATACAAATTAATATTGCCACACAAAGTACAATAAAGTATTTTGTTAAGCAATAAACATATGATCATTATGTAATAAAAATACATTTAGTGGTGTTGGAGTTACATAAGAAATGCAAAACAGTCCCTATACACAAGGATCCTAGACTTTGGAGGGGTTACTCATATATTAGATTAAATTAGATAACTAATGATATGAACAGATAAATAAGAGTCAGATGACTTTATTTTAGTTTGAGGGAAGATGAACAGGAGGATAGGTTGCTTTGGTCCAGGGTAGTAAGAGAAGGACTTATTCAGGTGATAAAGACTTGATCTCTAATGATGGAGAGGATTGGAATAGGTGAAAGGGAAAGAAAAAGGCATTTCAGATGGGTGTGCTGTTGTTAGGTGCCGTCGAGTTGGTTCTGACTCATGGAGACCTAATGTACAACAGAATGAAACACTGCCTGGTCCTGCACCATCCTCACTATTGTTATGCTTGAGCCCATTGTTGTAGCCACTATGTCAGTCTATCTCTTTGAGGGTTTTCCTCTTTTTCGCTGACCCTGTACTTTACCAAGCATGATGTCCTTCTCCAGGGACTGGTCCCTCCAGATAACATGTCCAAAGTGTGTGAGAAAAACTCTTGCCATCCTTGCTTCTAAGGAGCATTCTGGCTGTGCTTCTTCCAACACAGATTTGTTCGTAAGTCTTCTGGCAGTCCATGGTATATTCAGTATTCTTTACTGATGCCATAATTCTAAGGCGTAAGTTCTTCTTCAGTCTTCCTTGTTCATGGTGAGTATTAAAAAAAAGACTGTTATGAACGAGTATTGCATATTTAGGGAATCGTGGGCATACTAGTGGAGAATGTACACTCGGGAAATTAAGGCAGAATCAGATTGAAAAAAAACCTTAAATATCAAGATGATATAGTAGTTGGATTTTGTCATATAGACAGGTGTACTCTGTTGGAAATATTAGATAATGCTTGTGGGTTTCATCAGCCTCTTTGGAATTGATGCCCAGTAAGCAGATCAGTGAGTACTTGCTGGAATGTTCACTATAAAAACGTTTATAATATGTGACTTGTTAATGTGCCACACACATTTTTCAGAGTTTTATGTGGTTTATTTATTTGTTTTACTTTTGCAGCATCTCCCACCTCTGTTTTTTTTGTTTTGTTTTGTTTTGTTTTGTTTTAAAATAAGTAGGAAAATTATGAGAGTACCAAGACATTTGTTGTAGATAGTATAGGGCCCCTATGAGTCGGAATCAGTTCGATGGCACACAAGAGCAACAACAGCAGCAGTAAGATTTTTAAAGGCACAGTAACACTTAAGAATAATCTAAGTTGCCATTACAGTTCTTTAAACCAGAATGGGAAGGAAAAATATACCTTATTTTCTAACCTTTTAGAGCACTGTTAAATTAAGAAACAGTTTTGATTTATAGAGGAGCCCTGGTGGCATAGTGGTTAAAGCCCTTGGCTGCTAACCAAAAGGACGGCAGTTTGAACCCACCAGCTGCTCTACAGGAGAAAGATGTGGCAGTCTGTTTCTGTAAAGATTTACAGGCTTGGAAACCCCTTGGGGCAGTTCTACTCTGTCCTATAGGGTCGCTGACTTGGAATCGACTCGACGGCAGTGGGTTTTAGTTGGTTTGACTTACAGATCTCAATTTTTATCACATCAGAGCATGTGTCCGTTTAACAGCATATATATTTTGAGGTAGTGACCCTCAAATTGACAAGATGTATCTGATATTGTGCTAAATTTGGTTTAAAAAATTAGCTCTTTTTAAAATATGGAATATACAGATGTAAATGTTTATGGTTGAATTGGTCACTTAAATTGAAAAGAATATGTAATACAGGTTGGTATCATTTTTAATCAACATTTTAATTTTATTAAGTGTCATTTTGAAATAAAAAGGTTTCAGATTTTACATTCGACTTACTTTTTCAGAAAGAAAATATAATTATGATTTAGAAAAATGAAGTGTTTTTCCTCACAGTGGAAGTGTGTTCACTAATAATTTACCATCTTCACATAAAAGTTGCATATCTAATAAGATTGTTTTCATTTATTTGTTTAGAAATAATAAAATTTACTCCCTTGCTTCCCGATATCGTTTAATATATTCTTCAATAATGCTTATTAAATTTTTATGTTGGTCAATTTGCAGGTGAATTATGTAACCTCATTACGCTGGATGTAGCTCACAATCAACTTGAACACCTTCCAAAGGAGATTGGAAACTGCATACAGATAACCAACCTTGACTTGCAGCACAATGAACTGCTAGACCTCCCAGATACTATAGGTATGAGAGGAGAGAGAAGACATTGATAGTCATTTATAGCTGTCTGGATGTTAAGAAGACTAGTTTTAATCCATTTTGGTAATTAAAGGACATTAAAATTGAAAATTATCAAAGTAGTAAAACTTCTAAAAGATAGTATCTTAAAATTGCCTTTTATTTTCATTTCCTGGCAAAGGGAAAAAAAAATAGATTTTAGGAATAGAATATTGAGTTAAAAGTATGTCCCTTTCACAAGTGAATTTTCTGCTTTTGCTTATTTCAGAATGTTGCATGCTATTGTATGGAGTTTGGTCCCTTCTTTTACTAAAGTAGACCACAGGGAAAAATAAAACCAATGCTGTTTAGTTTTTAAAACACGACCAGTATAGTTTCAAGTTTGTTCATCTGTAATATTGAGGAGGCAAGAGATGTTTTGAAGTGTAAAATGTGTTTCCAGGACTTAGCGAAACTGCAAAATGTCTAATTGAGCTAATTGCAATATAGTCTATGTTAAATAGTCTTGTTCAAATGTCATAAATTTATACAAACAGTAAATAGAATTTTAAAAAATCTCAATGCCTTTTTAGTTATTGGTGTGGCATAATGATACTATAATGCTTATTTGGAAAAATTAGATCTGCATTTATATAATATTTTCATTAATATTTCAGAGGTTGTATTACTAAACCCTTTGAGACCTATGAAGATACTGTCTTCCTCTAGAAAGATGTTTGTTTGCTTCTGTCAGGTACCCATGGGGGACCACTTTAATCCATCCATGTTCAATGCTTGAGATTTTTCTGATCCCTTAAGTGATTCAGATATAGGCTGTAGAACTAATTGAAGGGCTCTTTTACTTCCAGTTTACCCTTAGTACTAGGGTGCTGCCCTTTAGGATCCCTATCTGAAGCAGCTTATTGATTACTAGAGTCCTCACCCTTGGCATAGTATAGCTGCATAGTATTCCATTGTATGAATATATTATACAAAGCACTAAATTTTGGATTTTATTAGTTCAACTGTTTTTTTTCCTTTTAGTTTTTCTAACTCATTAATTTATACTTTTTTGTAGGTATTCCTTTGTTATCTATTCTCCTGTAGTTTATATTGGACTTTTACTGTCTTTCTTAGGTATTTAAATCATTTAAAAAATTTTTTTCTTTGTTCCTGTATTTTTAGTTAAGATTTTGCATTTTCTTTTGAGTACTACTTCAACTGTGCCCTGGAAATTGTGATGAACAGTTTTTTCATTATCATTATAAATGACTTATTATTTTAATTTGTATTTCTTCTTTGACCTAATAATTTTTATATTTGCACATGTAAGGGGCGTTTCTTTTTCTGAGCTTGTTATTTCTTGTCTAGTTCTTGAATAGTATAGCTTAAAATGAAAAAACAAACACAAACATCACCTATCCTGGAGAGTTGGTGGTACTCTTGCTGCAGCTGCTCTGCTATCTTTTCCCAGCGCTAAAGAATTTTGTCCTAAACTAACAACTGAACATCAGATCTTATTAATATCACCTTATAATTACTTTCCCCCAAACCACTTTATTTCCTTGCCTTTTCTTTTTTTCTTATAAGTAGATAGGTGTGTTTTCACCCCTTTTCTTTACTTAACATGAACACTGCTGGACTAGCTATCACTCCTTGAGAGTTGTTTTGTGCCGTCGAGTTGATTTTGACTCATAGTGACCCAGTGTGACAGAGCAGATCGCCAACTCTTTTCTCCTTCAGAGCAGCTGATGGGTTTGAACCACTGGCCTTTAAGTTAGCAGCTGAGCGTTAACCATTGTGCCACCAGGGCTCCTGCATTGAGAGTTGATGTTGTTGTTATGTGCCATTGAGTTGATGCCAACTCATAGTAACCCTATAGGACAGAGTAGAACCTCTGGGGTTTCCTAGGCTAAAATTTTTACAGGAGCAGATGGCCAGATGTTTTCTCCAGTAGAGCCACCTGTGGGTTCAAGCCGCCTCCTGTTCAGTTATCGGTCAGGTGCTTAACCACTGTGTCACCAGGGCTCCTTACCTTGGCAGTAAACACTGCCATTTACTTGCAGTCTGAGCAGTACCAGGATCACTGACAGTTCATAGGATGTGAGGAAGAGGCAGAAGGAAATGGGGAGGGGATAGTTGGTTGTGCTTAAGTGAGAAGGTGCTTAAGAACATATTTATAGTTTCTCTAATTTAGCCATGGAGCCCTGGTGGCGCAGTGGCTAGGAGCTCAGGCCGCTAACCAAAAGGTTGGCAGTTTGAATCCACTGGCTGCTCCTTGGAAACCCTGTGGGGCAGTTCTACTCTGTCCTGCAGGGTCACTATGAGTCAGAATCAACTCGACGGCAACAAGTTTGGTTTCGGGTCTTGGTTTAATTTAGCCATAGTCTTGCCTTGTTGAAGAGTAAAGAGTATATTTTCTTTCATGTAAATATTTTCTAATTCAGGAATCAGCTGTGAACAGAAGAAAATATTTAGCTTCATTTCAACAGTCATTTTGTTTCAAACAATGTACCTGATATCCTTAAAGCTTTCTGGGATATATTGTGATTTTATGAAATCAAGGGGGAAAAGTATGAAGTAGGAAAAATATTTTGCTGTTTATTTCTATTCAAAATGAGATAAAGAGAGAAATATGCAACAAGACCTTGGGTTCTAGGGCTTGAGCACAGAACAATTCAGAGAGGTTGTTTTGTTGCACTGGGTTCTGAAGAAATGTTACAGTAATTATGGTTACATCAATAAATAGAGCTTTAGTATTTAGGTTATAGGTAATTACAGTGCAGTTTCTACATGACTTTTTTTAATGGTGATATTCTTTGGGTTTTTGACATTTAAGAATTTATGTATTGCTTGTTTTTAGTTTAATATTTCTGGAAAAAATAATTGTACTTTTGACATTATTTCATCTCTAGGAATGTGTGTCCTCCTGATATTTTACTACTTTGTTAAAAAAGATTAAGACCATTAGAGTGTTATTCAAAAACTATACTGAATTAACCTAAAGATCCTAATTATATTTGCTAAAATTGAAAGCATCTTATTTTAATTCATAACAACTTGATTTAGCCACGTTTAAAAATCTTACAGCATAAGAAAGCAAGCTGTCAAAGCGGAACACAGAACAATTTACAGTCAAGTGTTAAGCACTTAAAAGCTAAATGTCAGTGATTGGCAATGATCAGTCTGCATTTATATACACAGAAGCTCAGCAACATTGATGTTCTTAGTTGTGATGGCTCAACATTAAAGCAAGCTATGGCCTGATTTCTAGGTTGCGGTTTAGTTTGTGGTTAAACCGCTTAATGAAAGAAGGTTAGAGTTGAAACCACTGTGGGGGGTGAATCACAGTAAATGCCAGACTTCTGACATCAGGGTTTTTTTAGACATAAGAGAGTTTTGATATTTCAGTCTTAATTTTTTTAACCTTTTTTTGTTTTGCTGAGAAAAAAACATGTTGTTAAAATGTGGATAACTCTTTGAATATGCCATACTCTCAAGTAAATGATCAGGCCTTTGCACATGTGGATTTCTGCATCTGAATAGCATATTCTCATAGATTACATTTTTAAAAGTTCAGCCCCCTCAACTTTACCAATAAAGAAAGCGAGAAGAAGAGAAGGAGAGAGGGAGAAAGAAAGGATGGAAGGACAGAAGGAAGAAAAGAAAAAGTTTAAACCAAGGTCCAGGAAAATTGGAGCTACCATTTTTCTAATTTATATTGCCAATAATTTTGGTGCTAGATAATGTCCTAAAGCAGTTTTACTACACATCATTGTAATTTTTAAATTCTAGAAATCTGTTTTGGAGTCCTTGGGTGTTGCAAACAATGCACTAGGCTGCTAACTGAAAGGTTAGAGGTTTGAGTCCACCCAGAGGCACCTCAGAAGAAAGGCCTTGGTGATCTACTTCCTTCCAAAAAATCAGCCATTGAAAACCCTATGGATGACATTTCTACTGTAGCACACATGGGTTCACCATGAGTTAGGATCAGCTTGACAGCAACTGGTATATGGTATATTCTGATTTTAAAAGAGTTATTTCGCTTTCGGAAGAGAGGTTTCAGAAGTCTGGTACTATATACTGGTCTTCTCAGTTGATAAACGTTTAGAATTTGGTTACCATACTATTTGTTATTACTAAAACTTTTAGGACTGGCTAAAAGAGTTCAATGAGAAAAAAGTATTTTAAATACTATATTCATCTATCTAATGTATCCTACTGTAAAGAGTGATTGAATGAGACAAGTCAGTTGATGGAGCAAAATTATTAGGACTTTTCACAATTAGTAGGCCCTTTCCTCTTCTAGCAGACTTCAAAGACCCCTTAGTGACTTCATTTCAGCCATTTTATCACAGTGGAACAGCTTTTTTTTTTGCGTAGGGAAAGCAGTGGTATGAAAGAGAGAAAGGGATGGTCCTGTCTACTTATAGTTCTTTTTAAAGGTTTCTTCAGTCTCTGTCAGACCAGTGAGTCTGGTCTTTTGTTTGTTTTTTTCCTGTGAGTTTGGATTTTGTTCTACATTTTTCTCCAGCTCTGTCCAGGACCCTCTACTGTGATCCCTGTCAGAGCAGTCAGTGGTGTAGCCGGGCACCACCATCTAGTTGTGCTGGACTCAGTCTGGTGGAGGCTTTAGTAGTTGTGGTCCATTAGTCCTTTGGACTAATCTTTCCCTTGTGTCTTTGGTTTGCTTCATTATCCAACACTTCATCAGACAGTGTTCTGCTGCTGTTCATAAGGTTTTCACTGGCTAATTCTTTTCAGAAGTAGACTGCTAGGTCCTTCTTCTTAGTCTGTCTTAGTCTGGAAGCTCTGCTGAAACCTGTCCGCCCTAGGTGACCCTGCTAGTATTTGAATACCAGAAGGTGTTCATGAGAGATACTGGTCTGTAATTTTCTTTTTTTGTAATGTCTTTGCCTAGTTTTGGTGTTAGGATTATGCTGGCTTCATAGAATAAATTCACAAGTGTCCCTTTTCAGTGTCCTGAAATAGTTTGAATAGTACTGGTGTCAGCTCTTCTCTGAATG